CACTAGACCGTAGGGGCCAGCACTAGTACTCAAGTTTGGGGGATGAAAGAGCGGACCGCGCCAACGGCAGAACCTACTTGATTGCACACTTATGATACCGCCAGGTCATGCCTGCGGTATCATCTCAAGAGATACTCATATCAAGTTATGCCTATGGTTAATAAGTTGAACTAGCATGTTATCAATCATTTGTATGAATCCTAGTTCTATTAGGAGTTATAGGTTGTGTATCCACAACAGAAGGGACCTCGTGAGTTGGCCAGAAGAAGGTGCTTCGCACGAAATACTGCCTTCCAAAATAAACACTTTTGGAATTCCCTTTTGGAATACTTTTGTGTTTTATTTTCGGCAACAAATTCTTGGAATCTCAAAGTGTATAATTACTCAAGCGAGAAGAGATGAAAATTCCACAGCTTTCTAGTTTTTCAGTTTATTTTGGAAAAAAAAACCCAAATTCCTCAGCTATGCAATGTTAACAGAGACACCAAATAAAATGGTGAATGCAAAGCAAAATTAGGAAGGAAAAGGTCGCCTGAAGCAACCTCTAGCATCAGTAGCAAAAAAGTGTTGTTGCGCCGGTAATGCAGGCCTTTGAATTTGATTAAAGGCAAAGGTCGGGCTTAGTTGACCAAACCAACCCTTTCGGTCATGTCTGTACTTGGTTACGCACCCGTAGAGATGTTCCCACGCTCAAAATCTCGAACGGCGCGGTAATAAGGCCCCAGGGCATGTACTATGCGCTACGCCCGCCTCCTTCGCTGCTGTTTGACAGGGGGTCCCATATTGGGCCTCTTTCAAGGTATTTTTTTTCGTTTTTTCTTCACTGTCGTTCCACTTCGCATCTCTACACTCAGTTTCAGGCGCCATAATACCCGAAACGAGCCCGACTTTTGCCTTTAAGTCCGAAAGGCCACTACCAAGGCCGAAGGGGTTAACCATTTCAAAAATGCAACATAGAAAAAAAAGACAAATAAATAAATAAGAAGGCAAATGAAAAAATGAATCGATGTGACACACCTGTTGCCTATCAGACGCAAATTAGCTATTCCTTGGTATCACTATTTGGTTTTCCTCTCGTAGTCTCCATCTCCAGCAAGAAAACCGGAGCGCGCACATATAATGAGACACTGATGACGAGTTGTTGTGCCACCTTCGAAGACCACTGTTCAAACACCACCGCGGCCTTTCAATGAGGTCCGCAAATTACTACTCTCGATAGCAAATGGTGCTTTCGGAACAATCACTTACGTGATAGAAGACTTACACTTACATATACATCTTGTACTTGAGCCGTTGATCACAATAAGATGTATTTTCATATAAAACAAAAAACCTTGGGTGCTAACTTAGTTGGGGGGGGGGGGCACGCGGCGGCGCGGCAGTCTGCTCGCCTGGCATGTTCGGAAATCCGTGGGCCAGGGGGAGTGTAGGCAGTCTAGGGGGGTGGGGGGTGGGGGCAGTCACTTGACATGCGTGAAAAGCTGGAATGTTCGAGTTTACACTGTCTCGCTCGAGAGAGCCCAGGTGAGCAGACTGCCGCGCCGCCGCGTGGCCCCCCCCAACTAAGTTAGCACCAAACCTTGCCCTCTTGAAATAGAATTTATAGGACAAGCGAGTCGTTCAGGTATGTGCCAAGCTTTTTCAAAACGGTTTCTTGCATGACATAGGGGCACATGCATGACCCCCAGACCCATGAATCATTAAAGGCATGCCCCAGGATCGCACTGGTGTGGCTCTTGCACACGAATGTGAATGTATCGGTGCCAAGTGGGCCGGCAGTGAAGAAAAAAGGAAAAGAATCCGTCGAAAACGCTCAGGTTGAGGGCTCACTCACCTTCCTAATTGGCTGTGCTAAAGGAACGAGAGACTAAGCGCGAAGAGGAGAGTATGGGGCGAGAGAGCGCATCAGATGAGAGAGCACCAGACAACGGCCTGATAAGAGAGCTCGTTCGCTGCAGCTCGAGCAGCTTACTTTGCAAGCCCAAAGCGTTCTTGTCGGTCGAATTCCGTGCACGTGAACGCCACATTTGTGATTGTCCCCTAGGGTTCTATACTTCTGACCGAAGAGAAGAGTTCACACGACCTCTGCCTGGGTTGTGCCTTTAACTAAACGGCACTGATACCAAAAGGTATAGCATAGTTCGATTCCTCGTGGTGAAAAATTTTTGCATTTCGAGTTGACGTTTCAAAATTCGCGCAAAATGGAGTTGACATTAGATGATTAGTACCATATTCATGATAAGAACGTCAGTAACCCTTGAAATAGACTTTTGATTGAAAATTGGTGTAAGAGTTGTGACATCAAGCAGCCCCACTGTGGTGTCACACCTTTTTCACCAGTTTTTTTAATCAAAGTCTATTTGTAAGGGTTACTGACGGTCCTAATCATGAATATGGTACTAATTATTCATGCTAACTCCATTTTGCGCGAATTTTGGAACGTCAACTCGAAATGCAAAAATTTGTCACCACGAGGAATCGAACTAGGGACCCTCTTTTTCTGGTATTCGGGCCGTTCAGGAAAAACGGACATAGTTCTGTGGCTCCCACATGTGCCCCAATATCATGCAAAGAACCATTTTGAAAAAGCTTGGCACATCCTGAAGGACCTCCCTTGTGAGATAAGGAAAAGAGTGATGGTAAAATTTCAAACGTTCTTCCGTCGACCCCATGGAGAAAAAGCAAAAAAAGCCCAGCTACCTACGTAGGCATGCTTTGAAAGAGCCAGGTTTGCTAAGGTGAAGATGGTACCCGCAACTGGCCACAGCTTGACGCTTAGGTAATTCCTTGATCGGAAAAGTTCAGGAGTGTATTTAATGGCGCTTTTGAGAGGCAGACGTCAGGCAGTTTCCACCTGGATCTCTGCGCGCTCAGTAATGAAGTCTCAGATCGAATCCCGTTCAAACAACCACCATCCCATTCTTTCCGAGCTGTTATAATGGACTGAAGCGGAAGTTTGGAAACGCGATCAGTAGACCCATCGATATACACCAATGAACACCAACTGATGTATTCTATGCCCCGGAAACCTATTGTATAAAGCAAATACGCCTTCAAAAGTCAGTGTGATTCTTAGTGGCGAACAAATGTGTGGCGTAGATACAGTAAGGAAGAGATCATCGAACATGGAATGTCTAGCATGCACTTTTTATCAATTACAAGAGGATTCTCGACATTCCCCAGGGTGTCGAAGAAGAGTAGAAAGCGACGAAATGTGATAAAAAGGACTTTCAGCCCCATCTGAGGCTCACTCAGAAGAATGCCGCCCGTTCCTACGAAGCTGTGGCCTGCCGGGGACGCTAGAAACATTATCAGGTTCAGCGCTTTGTATATGCAGAAGTATAGGCACACGTACTATACATACGTAGCAGATGACTGACCTGACGATCTTCCTTGGACCATTCGACCGATGGTTCGACATAACCCCTAAGCACCCGGAACTATAGGGAAATAGAAACACTTCTCAACGGTTTTATATGCCAAGAGACATTAGTATTAGCATTTAGCATTAGTAACTGCCTCTACGCGAACTCTTGCCTGAGGCGTCATGGCAGGGATAGGCTTTTAGCCAAGCTTCCTCTTCGAAAGCAACGCCCTACAGCCCTCATCGTGCCAGCAACCATGTTTTCTCTACAGTTTTGGTTTCAAAGTTGTCCTCCTTACACTGAGATAACTGCTGTTATCCAGAAAATTCACGAACGCCATAAAGACAAAAATTTTATAAAAATTTTTATATTCGCATAATTTTATTCAATTTATTTGCATGAAACCAGTGGCAGCCACTTTTTTACGCACTCTCTATCGAGCCATTTTGGCGGATGTCATGCGTGCGATATCAGCTGCATCGCGCGCGTGCATGCCCCGCGATGCATAAACGACACATGAAGTAATCTTGTGCGACTCAGGGTCGTACCTTGCCGCGCATGATTCACACAAACTCAACTACAAGTCTTCAAAATGCCTTTGTGACGAGTTGCTTTTTCTTCCCTTTTCTCTTGTTTGATTAGTTTTTTTCCACACTTCTTGGCTTCATCTTGCTCTGTTTCTACCCATAGAATGTCGTGCTTGTAGTTGAGAGTGTTTGTTTGTGAAGTTTGTTTACGGTTGAAACTGAGATATTGGTTGTTGATTTTTGATATCTCAAAAATTCCTCAAAACTGCGGTAACAAACTCTTCCGAGCCTAGTCTCCTTCCTTGGAGGACAACAACCTGGACGTTTTTTTTTTTCAAATAATGACAATGAAGACGAGCAAATCCTATTAATCAATCAACAAGTTAAGCGGATCGAAGACAAATTTGCGTGAATCCATTCAAAAAAAAAAAACGCCAAAAGCAAAAAGCTTACAGTTCAAGGTATTTCTTTCACCAGCTCCATTGGCATACTAGCACGTAGGCGAGCGTAAATGTGAGAGTTACTCTGCGAGGGTGAACCTGGGTAGTAAAAACTCGTCATGAGGCCATGAAGCAGGTTTTGGCTGTAACGCCTTCAAAAAACACCCCTTGGGTCGCCTTGCGCATCTAGGAAATTAATGTCCAATCAAGTTCATGTTATCACCGTTCAATGTGACACTGATAAAAAGTAACAGAGACAGTTGTTTATCCACTCACAACATTCAAATTTAAAAAAGTTAACCATCATTAAAAAGTAATTTGCAGGTGGGCGCCATGACCCGACAAAGCATGAGATCATGGTGTTCAAACGGGATGCTCGCAGTCCACGTGACCCAACAATCATAACGCGTATAGAAAGAGAAGTTTTTTTTTATGATTTTTTATGCATCTGAATACACGTCAAGTAAAATAAATATAAATAAGTAATTGAAAATACAATAAACATGGCGCGTATCCAAAGGAGCGGAGGGCAGTAAATAGGAAGATCGAATCACAGTAAAGACCGAAGATACAAGATGCGGAGGTAGTGTTTTGTGTAGACGCTCATAGTAATTATAATATGTGAGAGCGAGTGTGTGTGAGCTTGAAGCCGGTAAAATAAACATTAACTAAAAGCGGTCTTTCGCGTGAGCCGCAAAGTCCATACCCTGAATCGATCCAAGCTCCTGAAATAGATTAAAATGTTACACAAAAAAAGACATGCAAAAAGGCAATAAATTTGGCGAAGTTCCAGGTGCTCGTGTGGGGATTGGTGGGATAGCCCATGCCGACTGAAGTAAACCTATTTTTGAAGCAAGAGGGAGTTCGGAATAATTGCAACTTCGCATAGAAGGGAAATCAAGTCAGTTAAACCTAACCTGAAAAATTCGGCATCGTATACATAACTGCGTAGATTCCACATGGCTGACTATCTCTGCGACCTGTGTGAATTAAATGAAACCAGAACACTGCTAAACTGAAGCAGCGGAAGCGACTGCGACTGGCGTACCAGACAAGGTTAAGATATAAAGAACGGTTCAAAAAGATTGTGTCGAAGACCAGAGGAGAGTATCTGCAGTGATACGGAAACGTGAAAAAAAATCTGGACCGGGAGGCTACCCTAAAGTAAGAGGGATATCTACTCCGAAGTGCTTTGCATAGTGGCAGAAACAAGAAGAGGAGTCCCATGCGCCACGATGCTAGACAACAGATGCAGCACAGCAAACATGAAAATAGGTGGACTAACGCTAAGAAGAAGGGAAGGAGGAGGGAAACAAAGTTTTTTTTGAACAAAGACGGAGATCTCAAACTGCAAATGGTTCTATCTTTGAACCAGTGTGGGTATGCAAGTTAGAAAATAGTGGTTACAGAACATTTTGAAACTGACCTGTACGCAGATGATGTTCCAAATTCCCCAGAAAAAATGCTGGAGCGGAAGGAATCTTCGGCCTTCAGCCATGAGCATTTTCAAATCTTTTTCTCGATCTCCCGTTAGCAAATGCCGTTTCCGTTCTTCGAGGGTATCTTGCTCCTGAAAGGAACAACGTAAGTTCTAACTTTGGAGCCCATGCAAACCATATGTGAGGCTTACAGTCTGTGACCGCGTGGGACGTTGCAGTCCACACTTCGGAGACAAATGTTGAGTCTTTTTTTGCTTTTCTTTCCATTTCCTTTATCAAGGTCTCCTCGAAGTCATATTCATATCCTTAGTCATATTCTTTCATATTTTTAGTCATATTCTTTCCACTTGTTTGACAGGATTCTTGAAACTTTCACTGAAGATCCACGCCGCCGCAGAATGTAAAACATGCGGGTTTCTAATGTTACATGAAAAGTTGAACGAGATATAAGTGAGATCGAAGACGTCGTCATAAAACATGAACCAAATTATCGCAGATCTCTCACATTCCACCACCGCTCCTTCCGCTCATTACCAATTAGCGAAAAAGAAGCAGGGAGCAAACAGAACACAAGACTCACCTTATATAATTGATCAAGATATGCGCCACAGAACATGCGAGACAGGCTCTCATCCTCCATCAAATCAAGATTCACCTCGTAAAATGGATGCTTCTCAACACCATAAGTCATACCACATTCTGCCAAAGTATTGCTGATCTCAAGCCCTCTAAAACGTACTGTGATATGGTCGCCTTTTTCACTATTCTATTGAAAAAAAAAACTGCAAAATAGTGCGTAAACAGAACTTACCGATGGTTGTAGAAGCCAAATTCGAAATCAATCAAGACCAAGCGATTTTCGTCCATTGCTGTTTGCTCATTCGGGCTACTTTCATCTCTATTTCTTATGAGCACATTTGATGGCTTGAAATCAGAACATTTTCGAGAAAAGTTTCAAGATCGTACAGCTAAGAGTACCTACCACTATGTCGTTATGACAAAATACTGAAGGACTTTTTTGCTCACTCAAAAACCTCTCGATTTCTTCAAACTCAAGCTCAAGTCGGTCCATTGTAACAACCTCAGGAAACTGAAAAGAGAATGCTGATGAGCAACTCTCGGATACACTAGTGGTTGGTTCTGAATCAGTTGACCAACCTCAACCTCGTCATGTATTGCTGTTCTTTCTAAACATATGGGCTGAGTTCCATAGCTGCGGCATCTGAGTAACCAAGAGCGAACAAGCGGTATGTATTGCGGAGACTTCGGTAACGGCATTTCAATAGCATGCACTTTAGCTAGCAATGCCGCAATGGAGGGAAAAAACCTAAAACATGTTGTTGTCAATTCTGCTGCTCGAAATATTGATAAAGACATTACGAATGGGGACAACGCATAAATAAATAAGTCAAAATGATCTGATATACAGCTGCACTTGACCGAGATGAGAGTGCATACTTCTCACTTAGATACTCTTCCTTTCCTAGATTTCGACTTGGAATGAATTCTTCAATTCTGCCACCAGGAAACACGGCAAGCAGTTTAGGCCCATAGCCGTGCGCTAAAAAGACATATACGTTGAGTCATTCATCAAACAGCGGCACTATTGTAAAATATGGGGCACTGCAGCGGCAACGCATTTGAAACTGAATCAAACATCTCCTGCCGCGTCCTCGCCGTTATACAAGAGGTCATCAATCTCTCGAGCGTCGTCATCATGGCTTAAGCCTCGTCATGAGATTTCGCAGCCTGCGACCGCCACTACTGAACGGCCTCCAGGATCTGCCCGTCGGTCCGTGCCGACCTAAACCGCCAACCTCGGCTACCTCCTCACCAATTACCCCCTTCTCCCTTGTTATGTTATAGTACACAATAAAGTGTGTATAGCCCATTGTGACAACACACCCGCTTCACCATCGTTTTGAAGCCCTCATGAAACTTTAATCTGGTACCCTTTTTTGCTAAGAACGAGATCAAGCCAGGGTGGGAAAGGGATTTTTATCCTTCCCGAGTCTCTGCCCCTTTCTATGCATAGTCCTAGCAATTCTGCTAGAACAGTATGTTGCATACGAGTTGCGTAAATAACGCAACATAGTATTTGGCGCGCAAGTCAAACTACACGCCGCGCGGTACCTTGGCAGCATTCTTCAAGAGATGTAGAGTAAACAAGACAAACTACTGTCATTCAACAAGTGATTAATGCTATTTGGTAACCCTCGAGCCCATTAATCACAAGCAAAGTGCTTTCTACCTTCAGTCCTCTTTATACAGTTAAGGCTGATGTCAGAGTCCGCGATCCGTCGCAGGTTTCGCTGATTTTCGCGATTTGCGCGAAACCTGCGACGGATCGCAAAAATTGCAAGTGCCCCATTTGAACATTTGAAACACTGAATATGAAACAAGTGGAATCATGAGCAGTCGTCATTCACTATCAAGCAGAAGTGGCGGCTAGAACACCTTGCAGTATTGATCGGGCACTTGTGATTTCCGTGACCCGTCGCGTGAATCGCGCAAATCGCGAAAATCGCGAAAATCGCGCAAATCGCGAAAATCGCGCAAATCGCGAAAATCGCGCAAATCGCGAAAATCAGCGAAACCTGCGACGGATCGCGGACTCTGACACCAGCCTAAACTTGACATAGTTTCGTGGCGTCATTGCGATAAGGTATGCACTATCCACCAAAATAAGACTTAATAGGGTTCATGAATAACTTGGTAGACAAAGGACTAAGGACGAGTAATCAGTGGAGGACGAAGTCACTGGGGTAAAACTAATGTAAAAGAAGACCTTGATCACGAAAAAACTAATGCTCAGCTAGCAATATTCTTAGGCTCAGGAATCCTTAGTGCGCGGACAATTTTTGGTTTCCCTCATCTTCCAAGGTCTAGTGCTTAGGCCGATGTCAGACTTTGCGAATCGCGCGATTCGCTAGCGTCTGCGGTCGCGTCGCGGCCAGTGAATCACTCAATTGGCTGGTACCGCAACGCGACCGCGGACGCTAGCGAATCGCTAGTAGCGATTCGCGCGATTTTTAAAGTCTGACATCGGCCTTACGGTGACCATCAGAATCAAGATGCCCTCACTGTATTAGTCATGGGCCGATTATTGAAGCTACTTCATCATAGTCACTCCAGGACCTGAAGACTTTTGTGACTCTAGCAATTTGCTTTAACAGAAAGGTGAAAAGCGCAAAAAATCAACGAACCGTTCAAATTCATGAAGATTGCTATTTCTCTCATCAACTGCAGACTATCAGATTGGGTCTGGATGCGAAGCAAAACTGATCTTGGTTCGCATGCGACCACGGCCAGATCATCAGAGAATTCGCAGAGAAAGACCAAATTTGTCAGCCCACCACTTAAAAATTTTGAGCTATCGATCAAAGTAAACGCCGAGATCTTTCACAGAGCAAAGCAAATCACTCTATGACCATATAATCCTTCCAGCGAAATTGTCGAATCAACGAAATACTGAATTCCAAATGAACATGTACACTCTCTTTCAGAGATACAGCTAAATTTCCAAAAATACGAGCTATGAAAACTGCCTCAAAGAAATCAGGGCGCTAACATAGCCGACCAGGAATGAATGATGGGTCGAAATGGCCATATGCAATGAGATCTACCCTGCTCAATGCGTTTTTGGACGTTGATCTCGATGCCAAACGACTTTCTAAACGAAGGTACGAAACAAAATAGAATAGGGTTAGTAGTCGGGATCACGTGGAAACGTCATAAGGTCATCTGCTGACCATCAATTTGGTTTCAAATTCGCTACTGGGGGAAATTTTTACCTCCAGAAAATCACACCTTTCAGCTGCAAAACACCTATATAATAAATTCTGCTGGCTCCATGTGCAGCCGCCAGGAAGCAGCGCCCAAACTTGTTAGGATTTCTTCGCACTCTTTTAACGAGTGACTAGAGGCAAGTGCTGTTAAAAGTGGCGAAATTGAGAGTTTTTGTCAACCATGCTGCCGCGAAGGAGAAAGGGAGAATCCGTTGGGAATCGATCCTACGACCTCTCTGCACGTGACCCGGACTACTACCGCTGCACTACTTTCCTTCATAACTCCATTCGGAAAATCGTTTGGCAGATTTGGAAAGCAGATTCGAGATCAGCGTCCAAAAACACATCCAACAGTACGGGTTTATTGCATATGGCCACTTCGACCATCCTTCCCTGGTGAGGGGGCCGGGAATCTGTGCGGCGCTTCCTTCGCTTGAGCTTCTAAGGGCGCTTTCACAGTTGGTTGCACGGTCGCAAAGCACTAGATAGGTATCGATCGTTCGACCATCAATGCGTATCCAATGCTTTGCGATCGTTACGATCGGACGACCGACTATGAAAGCACCCAAAGGCTTAGTCTGCGTACCACTGGATTTAGAAACTGTCACGTGGTCACGAAATATTAACACCAACGTCTGTGATTGCTATCTTGGGTGGGGGGAGCACGCGGCAGGCGCGGCGCTCTGTTCGTCTGCTCCTCCAAGGCTTAGTCCCAGGGGCAGTTACTATTTCGCCATCACGTGGCAGTTTCGAAATACGCGCCATCGGGGACTAAGCCTTCGAACGAGCAGACGAACAGAGTGCCGCGTTGCCGCGTGGTCCCCGGTGTGGTTCACTAGGACAGAAAGCGACTTTTTCGCTTTTCGCAGCGCGAAACATTTTTCGCTGCGGGAACTCAGGTCCACTCATGATCAGCGGTGGACCTGAGGTTCCCGCAGCGAAAAATGTTTCGCGCTGCGAAACGCGAAAAAGTCGCTTTCTGTCCTAGTGAACCACACCCCGTGGTCCCCCCAACTAAGATAGCACCCGTCTGCGCCCCAGGTGCAGATTAATGTGTAGAACGCTGCGCCGCCGCCCACCTGGACTTAGTTAGCACCGGAATCAGTTCAAAATCTTGAAGAAACGCCTCAAATAACTTCTCTATTTCGGCAACTGAGACTATATGGAATAAAATTAAAAAAGGAGTAAAGAAGTCACCACCTCAATTTCTTCAACACGATTTGCGTGTTATCAACCTTAATCCAAGCTCCACCCAAATATTCAGCACACAGCTCTCTGGCTGCATCAAGAATAGAGTCATTCTCAGAAGTCGGATCAAACTTCGAAAACACGTCCTGAAACGGAACAGAGCAGAACTGTGAAGCTGTAGGCACAATACACTCTCCTTTCTTGTAAGCGCTGAGGAAATTAGGTAAGAGACCTACCAGGATAGGTTTGGGCTCCGAATCCAGCACCTCCAATTGAGGAGCCATCACAAAAGCTCTTCAAGCTCCTTTTAAAACAAAAGGATCACAAGAACACCGTGATGGAATCTTAGTTAGGGTGAGGACGAGAGAGGTGTACCGTCCATCATAGCAGGTTTTCTGCAATTCACGTATATTACGCGCCGAGGTGTGGTTCACTAGGACAGAGCGAATTTCTCGTGTGTCACAATGCGAGACGTTTTCGCTGGGGAACCCGAGGCCCACTTACGATCAGCGATGGACCTGAGGTTTCCGCAAGGGAGGCGCTGCGATACGTAAAAAATTCGCTCTCCGTCCTAGTGAATCACACCCTACGCGCCGTATAGCCTTGGAGCAGGGGTGTGGTACACTAGGACGGAAAGCAAATTTTCCGCTTTTCGCACGCGAAACTTTTTCGCTGCAAAACCCCAGGTCCACCCTGATCAGCAGTGGACCTGAGGTTCCCGCAGCGAAAAAAGTTTCGCGTGCAAAAGCGAAAATTCGCTTTCTGTCCTAGTGAACCACTCCCTGGAGCAGGGTCAAACAGAAGATTATAAGTTTAGGAACATGGGCAGTATACCGTAACCCTCTCGACGTTGGGGCGCCGGCAGTGGGGCGCGCAATGTCACGTGTGATCGATTTTCCATGGCGGCATTCAATCCTTCCCCAGAGGGACTCTTCTTCCATGGATGCAATCCTCTCCCAGCTTTGGGGAGGACAAAAAAGGGTTGCGTCATAGAAATGCCATACCTCTTTGTTTCTATCTGCCAGACAGTGGGAGCAGCGCGATGCTCTTTTTCCCTAAGGGGTCGCGCTGCTCTAACTGCCTGGCAGTTAGAAACGCGGTCTTATGGGTTACAACGGCATCTGTCAACCAGGGGGTGAGATTGTAGAAGGAAAAGCAGACGTTCTTTGTGGTAGTGGGACTAAGCCTTTAAAGGAGGTAAAGAAAGCGGAGATTCTGTAATAGTGCGCTTGTGTGAGAGCTCCCAGACAGCACAACAAAACGCTGAATTGCCTAGCCTCACGGTTGACAGATGTCCGGAGACCGGTCTTATGACGCAACTCTTTTTTAGCGCGCTCCCTATTTGAACCGGCTTCCCTAGAGAGCCACGCTAGCGGCGTTGATTGCGTTCGCTCTCACGTTAATGCTGTATTGTGCTTTGGAAAGTCTGCGACTGCGACCTGGCACAAACGTGGATTATGGTATACCTCCTATGTTCCTTAACTTATACCCGTGGGTCAGACGGGGGGGGGGCACATTTGCGATTCTAGGAGGGACGGTGGGGTCGCATTTGGGTTGAGAAAGGTTAACCATATCTGGGAAAAGTGCGAATGGAGGTTGAATTCGTCTGCGATGCGACTTTTTTTTTACGATATTAGCGAAAACCTCGTGAATGGGGTAAAAAATAGGCGAAATTGGAAGATTTGCAGCTTCATTAGACGTAACTACCCTCCACCAGGGTGAAAATCGTGCCGAGGAAGTGTTCCCATCACTACGACCCTCCCCCCCCCCTCCCCTTGGATCGGGGTCTTGATACGACCCCTAACTTTGATTTGATGTGAATAAGCGAGTTCCATCAATGTACAGCAAAGCATTCAGTTGCAGCGCGGTTTATCCGTGGGTCAGATTTGCCGAAACCCCGCTCGAAACCGTCGAAATCTACACTCTCGATGAAAAGGTTCCATTCCCCATTTCATAACCTTTGGAGCAGTATGTGGTAGGGTTAGATAGAGCTGGATTTGCTACTACCGGGCAATATTGAAATTGATCTAAAAGCTTTCACACTCGAAGAGATAGGGTCTCTCAAATTTTGTCGAGGGAGCGTCGAGGATGCTAAAATTTTCCATGCGAGTTTTTGCCATTCAAAAGGCGACATCTCTCTCTCTCTCATTTCGTAAAGACCTCGGGAAAAGGAAGGCGGAAGGTTGGCGCCTTCTAATAGTTCCGTTTAGCTTTCTTCCTACATTTTCTAGTTGAGGAGATATTTGCGTCGAGGATCTATCGAGGATGGATCTCGGCCACCTAAAAGCCGCTCCCTTCTTCACCATTGCAAGTGTAATTCGTTGGCAACGCTCGAAATGTGTCTAGAATAAATTCTCCCAACGTAAGCAACAAGAAAAGGGGCAATCGTCATCGTCCGATCTCGTCTCAGTATAGGCCATGCATCCGACCTCCACTCAAGTTGTAGAATCTATTGAAAGGTGTTATACGACAGACGACAGACGACAGACGACAGACGACAAACGAAGCGCTTCATAGTTGGTAGGATTGAAATTTGAACAAATATTCAAATGATTATAACTTTCTTCAAAGTTGACGAATTTTCAATCTGAAAGCAGATTTGGGAGTTTTGTGAAGAGCTTTTTCTAATCAGTACTGAAATTACAGGAAGTTATAAGAAATAACAAATTTAGATCAAATAACGAGGAAAATTCGAGATGAGCACGAGTTTTTACACTTTCCGAAGCAATAACTTGCTTCATTTCCGTCAAATTCAAAAAGTTGATACGTCATACAAAACTAGAAGATTTTCTCTATCAAACGGTACTAAAGCAGCTTAATACGTCCAGTATTAAAAAATGGCCACGTTGAGGATTTTTGCCCGAGTACCGCCGAAAGGTACTTTTTCGCTACATTGGCACTATTTCAACGACTATAGCTCCTTTCAGGGGCGATTACATACTAAAGTAGGAGCAGATTCAAAATCCTCGTGCTTTTCTCTTGCAAAAAGTGTAAAATTGTTTAGCGGGTCTCAACTTTAAAGGTTACATGCTTGTGAATTTGACGCTGAAGGCTGCGTTTCTTGTTGAATAGTGTACTCCTCTCTGTAATTTAACATGAACTCTTTCAGAACCCTCTTGATTCTTCCTGAATTAAGATTCGTTATCAAGATAGCCGTAGCTGAAGCGCGCGCAACCAACTGGGCCCACTCTGGGATGCGCCGTGTGCTTCACATCTCGTTGGATTTGAGGACCTACTTGAAAGATAAAATATCCCTGGAAAACGTGCGAATTTCGGATTCTTTAACTTGTGTGGTGATGAAACACTGAAGTAACTAAGAATTGCTAAGCGGACACCTCTAAATCACGAAGATTTTGTGTGGACGGAATCAATTGTTATTGGAAATACTCTGGCCTGGTATCGATTCGATCCTTGATGTTTGTCCTCCGACGATGATCCTACTGTATCAATCGGGCCCGATCTCTCCCCAGCGGGCCAATACGACCCCCCCTCTGTGACATGTCGAGGATTCCTCAACGCACGCTTGACCCTGCATGGAACCTTTTTGAAACGGTTTTTGCATGATAAAGGGGCACATGCATGGAGTACAAAACTAGGCTCCATTTTTTCTGAGCGGCCCTCTGAATGCCAAAAAAGGAGTGAAAAAATTTCTTCAGAAATCGGAGTTTTCACACCTTCAACGCGGTTTATATCACTCGTAGTGTTGAGTGAGCGCATAATAGAGGGTTTTCTTCCACGTTGACATTGAAAGCAGCTCACTTCTAATGTTAATGCCATTCGCTACTAATGTTTACTAACCGAGTGTAGTATTTCGCTACACTTTGCGGTGGAACAACGTGAGCTGAGCTTTTGTGTTCTGGTGTTTTCCGTGCGTCCCTGACAGGACGTCAGAAACGCTAGAGGGGATGAGGCGTTTGATAGGGTAGTGTGCACTTCTTAAGCTTTGAGCCATGTTCAGGCCTTGAAAACGACGGAACGGTCGAAACGTTGGCCAGAATAAATCTTCCACCTTAACAACCTCAAGGCAGAAGTACAATCAACAATTACAATAACAACGAAGATGCCGAGGTTTCAAGATGAGAGAACCTTACATGCACGCCTACCACCATAGTGACCTCGTCCACAGCTGCTGAAGAGGAAGTTCTTACTTACGGGTTCCTTAAAAGCTTTTTCCTGTTTTTTTTTCTTCACATGGCGTCCACAACTTTGTGTCTGAATAGGATTACCCTCATTCGTCATACGTGAGTTTTGTCTTTGAAGGCACGAGTCCGGATTGAATTGATGCGTTATTTTGTTCAAACATTAGGCAAGGGGTGCAATGAGGAACATTAGTGAGGAGAAAAAGCAAAAAGCACCATAGAAAACACTAAATTTCCCTTAGGAGGCCGGCCGTAGTACGACGGAGAGACACAGCGCTGCGAGGGGGGGGAGGACGCGAGATAGTGGATCGCCCTCAGTGCTTGGGGAGCCCACCATCGCCCCCTGGGAGAAACTTCTGCTGGTTGCCTAATCCTGACTCGTGGCTTTAACAACCTCAAGGTGGAAGTACAATCAACAATTACAATAACAACGAAGATGCCGAGGTTCCAAGATGAGAGCTTGGAATTTATTGAAAACAACGTCTGGTAAAGCCAAAAACAAAATTTGAACATAACAAGTGCTTAAAGGCAAAGGTCGGGCTCATTCGCACTAGAGGAGTAATTCCCATGCCCGGAGGTTGTATGTGAGTAGCTGCACACATTCAGAGTCGTCGACATCGACCTGTCAGAGGGGGAACGGTCAACAGAATCGATGGCTCGTCGCGCCACCGCGTGCGGCCAATCGTGCGGCGAGGGGGCGGAGCCTTCAGGACGAGTGTTGTCTATATCGACCGCAGAGCTTAAAAACTGGAAATTCTTCTTTGACACGGTTTCCCTAACTTATATCTTGAATTATTCATATCAAATTTTAACTAACAGATGTAAGTGGTTATTAATAAACGAAAGAACTTCTTTTCAGTTACCAAGACTTATGCTCTTCCAACCACTCCTTGAAAATGAGTAGCGAGTACTACCCACGTGCTTACGAGGCAACAGAGCTGACGCTCGCTACTAGTTTCCAGTAAGAGTTATGTGGATGCTATGAACAAAAACTGTTGCATCGAGTCATATATACC